CTGATCTATGTTCAGAGATTGTAAAAATATTGCTTGGTCATTAACTGATACACCCGACACAAGTCTCTGTAATTACCTTTGTACAATACTGAGGAATAACCAGAAGATGTGGACAATTGAATGGTGCCATTGTATGGATTTTCCAACCTAGTTCATGGACATATCTTTGCATAGAATGCCTTATTATATGTATTACAACGGGATTTCTATCCCTACCAGGAACTTTGAATTACAGCCATTGTGTCATGATGCCACCTAATGGCTTGATCAAGAATTGAAACCCACAATAGAAAACAAATCCAGAGATAGCCAAGTTGGCCTCACTGCAAAATAGCACCAATTTCAAAATCTCTTAACGTTTAATATATTTACTGCCCCATAATGTGAGATAATAAAATTAACTGCAGGCCTTATGGCTCTTTGTTTCTTAGTTCCTATATAGCCAAAGAAATAAGTGGCCTCTGACTGTACTGATATTCCTCCAGACCAGCCTTTGTCAACCTGGGGGTCAGGACTCCTGGCAGGAGAGGGTTGTGAGGAGGTTTCAGAGGGGTCGCCAAAAACCATCAGAAAACATATATTCCTTTGGCAGAGAAGGCTGAAGATCTCTCTGCTAGTCCTTCTTTTTAATTACCAATATGCAGCTTGGCTCACTAGCTTAAGCAACCCATCCCACCAAAAGCCTTCCTCCACTGTGATTGGCCAGACTCTCGGCCAAGGGGAGGGCCATTTCTGAGACTCCAAGTGAGGAGGGGAGAGCAGGGGTGTTTGGTGCGTGGCAGCGTGGTGTGCATGTGCAGGCAAGGGAGAGCGTGCAAGGCTGGAGGGAGGCTTACACCAGGGTTCTGTGTGGGAAGTCTGGCCCAATTCTATAGTTGCTGGGTTCAGAATGCTCTTTGATTGTAGGTGAACTATAAATCCCAGCAACTACAACTCCCAAATGTCAAAGTCTATTTTCCCCGAACTCCACCAGTGTTCACATTTGGGCATATTGAGTATTCGTGCCAAGTTTGGTCCAGATCCATCAATATTAGAGTCCACAGTACTCTCTGGATGTAGGTGAACTACAACTCCAAAACTCAAGGTCAATGCCCACCAAACCCTTTCAGTATTTTCTGTTGGTCATTGGACTTCTGAGTGCCAAGTTTGGTTCAATTCCATTGTTGGTGGAGTTGAAAATACCCTTTGATTGTAGGTGAACTATAAATTCCAGCAACTACAACTCCCAAAGGACAAAATCAGTCATCCCCCAGCCCCTCCCAGTATTCAAATTTGGGCATAGCGGATATTTGTGCCAAATGTGGCCCAGTGAATGAAAATATATCCTGCATATCAGATATTTACATTATGATTCATAACAGCAGCAAAATTACAGTTATGAAGTAGCAACAAGGGGCTACCCTTGAAGACAGCCCGGAAATTACAACTCGTCCAACGTGCAGCAGCCAGATTAACAACTGGGGCAAATTACAGGAAAAGGTCAACTCCCTGTTTAAGGAGCTTCACTGGCTGCCGTTTGTCTTCCGATCCCAATTCAAGGTGCAGGTTATCACCTATAAAGCCCTAAACGGTTTGGGATCTGCCTACCTTCATGACCGGATTTCTCTCCATGAACCAGCCAGAGCTCTCAGATCCTTGAGGGAGACTGCTTTCGCCCTTGCCATTATCACAGGCTCATCTTGTAAGCACAAGGGAGAGAGCCTTCTCTGTGGCTCCCCGACTCTGGAAATCATTGCCCGGTGAGATTAAGAAGGCCCTCACCTTAGAAATTTTCAAGAGGGATCTCAAAACCTGGTTTTTCCCAATGCACGTTTGGAGAGTAGCCATATTATCATACACAGTTGTTCTCCCTCAACGGTTTTTGTCCCCAGAGTATATTTCCCCGCCTGTATGAAGGCCTATATTTATGACCCTGTTCCTTTATGAGTTTCTCCCCCACAATCTTCTCCATCCCTATCTCATCCTGATTTAGTATTTTTAGTATTTTAATTTTTATCTTGCACATGCGGCCTGCTCATTGTTATTTTTTTTATTGTGTATGATTTTGCTTTATCGTTTTTGTACTCATATGTTGTATGTATTTTACTGTGTTGTTATTGTGTTTTGGTTTTACTTTATTGTAATATGCTGTTGGGCTTGGCCTCATGTAAGCCACCCCGAGTCCCCATTGGGGAGATGTTGGCGGGGTAGTAAATAAAGATTATTATTATTGATATAGCACACATATTGTTTGATTGCAAATTGTATCAAAAGGTGAGAGACTTCCACCTTGGTCCATATATCAAATGGACAATGTATTGGGAATCTCACATCAGAACAACATATTTTATGTGTGGCCAAGACCCAAAAATAACTTATAAAACAGCTCTGTACTTAAGCAAAACAATACGTCTGAGAACCACATATGTAGGGCTGATTGGGGTAAATTGTAGGGGTGATAATGAAATATGATGTATATACTCAGCTTGATCAGTTTATCAGTTTTATCATGTCTTATCATATGTATTTACTGTATTATTATAAGTGTCTTATTTTAACTTTCTACGTGGAGTGTGATCAGGTCTTGTCAGGCCTTGTTGTTCTGTTTCTTATTGTGATATGGCCTAAGGGCTAATCAATAAAATTACTATTATTATTATTATTATTATTATTATTATTATTATTATTTTGTGGGTAGTCAATCTTTCCCCTCTCTACTTCCTTGTGGCCTCTGCACTATAACAGGATTTTATGAGACCAATTGCTCTTGCCGCAATGGTGTTTTAACGGTAAGGCTATTTTAGTTCTTGTGGACCACGGACCACAGGTTGGGAACCACTGTGCTCGAGGAAGTAGAGATTCCTAAAGAGAACAGCTTTCTTTCTATACATTGGTAGGGCTCATGATAAAAAGGCGAGATAAAAATAAGGTTCAATAAAACCACTCAGTGGATGGTAGAATGGACTGTGTACCTCAATGCTTTTTAAACAATTTGATGTGGCGAATTGGAAAATATTATTTTCCCGTATGCTGGAGACTGGAACTGCATTGTAACCATTTGGTACAGTTCTTTCTTTCCTAAAAATCTGTCAAGGACTAGAAGCAAATGGCTTACCTGTCCGAACATATCTCCCCATATGAACCACCTCAGAGAGCAAGATCGTCTGGGGAGGCCCTGCTTTCTGTCCCGCCTTCCTTGCAGATGCGACTAGTGGGGAAGAGAGACAGGACCTTCTCAGTGGTGGCTGTTGAACTCCTTCCCCAGCAACATTAGATCAGCCCCCTCCCTCCTGGCCTTCAGAAGGAAAGTGAAAACGTAGCTTTGGGGTCAAGCTTTCAGAGAATAACTGCAGTGAAATAGATGAACTGATGGATTCAGATTATGTGCAATGATTACTGGAATGGGCCTGGACTACAATTATGGATGGCGTGGTTTTAATAGTGATTGTAATGTTTTTAAATGTTTTAATGTGTATTGATTTTAATTTTAATGTTTATTTTAATTATATGTTGTGTCAAGGCATTGAATACTTGCCTATATGTAAAACTGCCTTGAGTCTCCTTCGAGGTTGAGAAGGACAGGATATAAATCTATATATAAATAAAAATGTAATGTTCGTTTGTGGGATTAACATAACTCAAAAACCACTGGATGAATTGACACCAAATTTGGACACAAGACACCAAACAACCCAATGTATGTCCTTCACACAAAAAAATTGATTCTGTCATTTGGGAGTTATAGTTGCTGGGATTTATAGTTCACATACAATCAAAGAGCATTCTGAACCCCATCAATGATGGAATTGAACCAAACTTGGCACACAGAACTCCCATGACCAACAGAAAATACTGGAAGGGTTTGGCGAGCATTGACCTTGAGTTTTGGAGTTGTAGTTCATCTACATCCAGAGAGCACTGTGGACTCAAACAATGATGGATCTGGACCAAACTCTACACAAATACTCAATATGCCCAAATGTGAACACTGGTGGAGTTTGGGGAAAATAGAATCTTGACATTTGGGAGTTGTAGTTGCTGGGATTTGTAGTTCACCCAGAAACACAGAGCATTCTGAACCCCACCAATTATAGAATTGAGCCAAACCTCCCACACCGAACCCCCATGACCATCAGAGTTGGCCACAGCAATGGGGGGCAGGGGACAGCTAGTATAGTAAATAAATCTATATAAATAAAAATGTAATGTTTGTTTGTGGGATTTACATAACTCAAAAACCACTAGATGAATTGACACCAAATTTGGACACATTACACATATCAGGCCAATGAGTGACCATATATAAATAAAAATGTAATGTTCATTTGTGGGATCAACATCACTCAAAAACCACTGGACAAATTGACACTAAATTTGGACACAATACACCTATCAGGCCAACGAGTGACTATCACTCATAAAAACACTGAAAAACACAGTAGAAGAGGCTTAAAAACCTAAAAAATTAAAAAAATACATTACAACGCATGCACCAAACCACATATATACACTAACCCACATATTTACATATACACAAATATATACACACATGTATGCATATATATACACACAAACACATATACACAGTCGGCCACAGCAAGGCATGGCAGGGGACAGCTAGTAATAAATAAATCTATTTTGCCTTGAATGATCTTCTTCTCTTCTTTTCTTTTTTTAAACTATTATTGCTATTATTTTTTAGATTGTTCACATTCCACATCTGAGAGCGGGAATAATATGATATGTAGTTAGTTAGCTAAGGATTAGAACTGAGCAGTATATGTTTAATTAGGCTTCAGGAAGCTTATGCCACTCTTAAAACCCACTATCAAACTTGATTGCACGCACCTACCGGAGTTTGAAAATCAACAATATTATGGAGTCTGTGTATTATAGCTAAAAGATGCTCCTATATATAAATTTATAAGAGCAGGGCTTACATTTCAGAAGCAGGAGGTAGGAATTATTTACAGCTTTGAAACAGGTCATCTAATCTGTTTGCTTGAGAAGATTTGCCCGCCACATATTCAGCCCGAACATTAGCTTCATGATGAGTCATTACCTCCCGAATCCTTGTCTCTTCACCCAGACAATCATATTGGAACCCAATTTTGTTTAAGCAAGTAACATTCAGTTTCCAAAAACCAAAGGCGATTGGCATGAGTATTAACAAAGATGAAGTCGAAACATTCCTGGATAACAATCTGGATTTTGCCAAGCAATATTTTGAGAAGAAACTGGGGGACAAAACCCTGTGTGCCACAGCAAACAGGATTTGCAATCAACGCTCAGAAGATTGTGCGGACTTTGAAGGGCTGGGCCAGAATGAGACCGAAACCCTATTTGAGCTGATCCAAGACATGCAAGAAAGCATCAACATGGAGAAAGTGGTCTTCAAGACCCTAAAAAGGATCAGTGCTCTCATACAAGCTGATTGTTGCAGCCTCTTCATGTACCGGCAGCGTAACGGCATCCCTGAGCTGGCAACTCGGCTGTTCAACATTCGTAAGGACAGCACAATGGAAGAATCCCTAGTTGCCCCAGACTGTGAAATTGTTTTCCCTTTGGATATGGGGATAGTGGGTTATGTGGCCCAGAATAAGAAGACTGTAAACATCCAAAATGTTGATGAGGTAAGGTGATCTAATTTCTTGCCCTACTGCTAAAAAATGAGATTGTAGCATTATTTATATCTCAGGTAAAGGTAAATGTTTTCCCCTGACATTAAGTCCAGTTGTGTCCGACTCTGGGAGTTGGTGCTCATCTCCATTTCTAAGCCGAAGAGCCGGCGTTGTCCGTATACACCTCTAAGATCATGTGGCCAGCATGACTGCATGGAGCGCCATTACCTTCCTGCATGTATCTCAAACAGGTAATAAATTCATTTCACAGTGTTGAGTAATTCCACTGTTTTCTTGTCCGACCCTCTCACTAGTAATACCACTTTCTATCTATCTCACCCATGGGTTTTTACCAATTATCACCCATTGTATTTAGCCTAGCTCACTTTGTATTGTCGAATGATTTCATGGCTGGAATCACTGGGTTGTTGTAGGTTTTTTCGGGCTGTATGGCCATGTTCTAGAGGCATTCTCTCCTGATGTTTCACCTGCATCTATGGCAAGCATCCTCAGACCTCACTACCTCCGAGGATGCTTGCCATAGATGCAGGCGAAACATCAGGAGAGAATGCCTCTAGAACATGGCCATATAGCTCACCCATTGCATCTGGCCTATCTTGCTTTGTTTAATTCTATTACCATTTTATCATTTGATTTTATTGTGGTTTTGTTATTTTCATTTCATCATTATGTTGTTATCGAGCATTTTATTTGATGTTATTGTTTGTTTTATATGTATTCTCATTTATTGTAATTTGTTTGGGCTTGGCCTCATGTTAGCCGCCCCGAGTCTTCCCGGAGAGATGATGGCGGGTTATAAATAAAGATTATTATTATTATTATTATTATTCTGACACAAAAACACAGTACGTCACAGCAAACGAGATCTATATGCTGGATTTCATATCACAAAATCACAAGTCATTATTATTATTGTTATTATTATTATTATTATTATTATTATTATTATTATTATTATATGTACCAATGTCCCCCTGCTATTAGCTGCTGTATTGCTGCAATGCAAATACAAAGAGGAAGTAGAGAGCCAACGTGATGCAGTGATTTGAGTGTTGGACTACAACTCTGGGGACTAGGGTTCAAATTCCCACTCATCCATAGAAACCCATTGGTGACTCTATAGGTCAAACGTACTCTCAGCCCCAGAAATGCCTTTGATAGATATGTCTTATGATCACCATAGAAGGCACACAATAGCAATCACAACAATCAAGAAGATGGAAGATTAATTCAAAATGATTAGGATGTAGAGGTAACATTGACATTTCTATTGTGAGCTATAGAGGCAATACACTTTTTGATTTATATTTTGAATTGAGAAATAGTTTGCTTCTTCAACAGAAGAAGCATTGCTACCTTCAAAAGGAATGTACCATAATTAAGTTAGTAAATCGTAGCAACTGAGGACAGATAGAGAAGTCAAGTTCTATATCAGTTGTGTTTGATCGGATGATAGTATATAGTACTAGCAGTCCCCTGCCACGCGTTGCTGTGGCCCAGTCTGGTGATCTGGAAAATAATTAATTAGAAAGTGTTGGTTTCTAATATATGTAATGTCTTTATGCTTGTGGGTAAACAGTATTTCTTGATGTTTCTTTGACAGTGTTAAGTTAGAGATTGTCTGGTTTGCCTACTCTGGAACATGCAACATGTAATTGTCCATCTTTAGGGGTCCCTTTCAAATCTATAATACTTTATCTGTGTGTGTGTGAATCATATATATCTATCTATATCTATGGCTTGATGGCTCTCTGTCAGGAGGGCTTTGATTACGTTTTCTTGCCCTTGTGAAGGGTGTTGGACTGGATGGCCTTAAGTATTTTCTGTTGGTCATGGGGGTTCTGTGTGAGAAGTTTGCTCCAGTTCTGTCATTCGTGGGGTTCATTCAGAATGGTCTTTGATTGTAGATGAACTATAAATCCCAGTAACTACAACTCTCAAATGCCAAGGTCTGTTTCCCCCAAACTCCATCTGTGTTCATATTTGGGCATATGGAATATTCGTGCCAAGTTTGGTCCAGATCCATCATTGTTTGAGTCCACAGTGCTCTATGGATGTAGGTGAACTACAACTCCCAAACTCAAGACTAAACGCTAGTATTTTCTGTTGGTCATGGGAGGCCTGTGTGCCAAGTTTGGTTCAATTCCATCGTTGGTGGAGTTTAGAATGTTCTTTGATTATAGGTGAACTATAAATCCCAGTAACTACAACTCCCAAATGACAAAATCATAATGTTTTGAGTGATGAGTGATTCCGTTCATTGGTTCTTTTGTTTTTAAGGAACTCATTTTGCACAGAGCATTTTTATATAGATAGATAGATAGATAGATAGATAGAGAGAGAGAGAGAGAGAGAGAGAGAGAGATAGATAAGAAACCCGTGTGGAGGTCAACAAAGAGCCAGGAAGCTAGAATAGAGTTTAACTGATTTCCTACTACAGTTTTTTTTCCATGTGAGGAATGACTTGAGAAACTGCAAGTTGCTTCTGGAGTGAGATAATTGACCATCTGCAAAGATGTGCCTGGAGCCCGTGGTGGCTCAGCGGGTTAACCCGCTGAGCTTCTGAGCTTATTGACCGAAAGGTCGCAGGTTCGAATCCGGGGAGCAGTGTGAGCTTCTGCTGTCAGCCTCTGCCAACCTAGCAGTTCGAAAGCATGCAAATGTTAGTAGATCAGTAGGTACCGCTCTGGCGGGAAGGTGACTACGGACAATGCTGGCTCGTCAGCTTAGAAATAGAGATGAGCACCAATCCCCAGAGTCGGACATGACTGGACTTACTCTCAGGAAAAACATTTACCTTTACCTTTAAGGACATTGCCCAGGGGGTGCCCAGAAGTTTTACCATCCTGTGGGAGGCTTCTCTCATGTCCCCACATGGGAAGCTGGAGCTGACAGATGGGAGCTCACCCCTCTTCCCGGATTCGAATCACCACCCTTTCAGTCAACAATCCTGCCGGCACAAGGGTTTAACCCATTGCAGCACTGAGGGCTCCTCCTACTACAGTATCCCCTGAACCAATATATGTGGTTTTACTTATCCCTGGTTTCATTTATTCATTTAGGATCTCCTATAAAAGCGACACTCTCTGCTAAGTATGGACATCATTTGTCCCATTGAAAATAATAGGGATCACTATTATCTGTGGTTTCATGTATCCCCTGAAGATTAAGGGTCATAATGTATTTATAGGAGGGCATTTTTACTTATGTATAAATGGATGCAAGCAACTTGCAGTCTTGAGTAATAGTAACATAAAGATACATCTTTAAAAGAATCTCGCTGCTCTGAAATGTGGCACAATAACACTAAGGTCCTTCTTGAGTTTTAAACTCCAGATTGCCTTTTCAAGCAAGCACACTGTCATCAGAGTATTATTCTGAAATCCATGCAATCCATGTATTTTATCTGGGATTACTTTACCGTTAAGTACTCTTTCAATAACTAGGTCATCTGTCATCACAGATTGATAGACAGGATAAAAAAATAGTAGAAGTAAATCCATTTTAAAAACTGTGGTTGTTTGGTCCTCTTTTCTTTCAAGCAGTGTAGTCTTTGCTGTAAAATTTTAAAGTGGAGGAGAGATCAGTATAGAGTTATTTTGTCTATAAGAGGGGTCTTTTTACAAGTATATTGACAGAAGTGTTATTAAAAAGGCACAAACAGAAGCACCCAGGAAAGTTCTCAGTGCAGGTCCCAGAAGCTTAATAATCATGATAGAAGAGCGATATTGTGTGTTAATAGTTCAAAATTGTACTGGGTCTTGAGAGATGGCGAATCTGGTCTCCAATGTGCCTTGGAGCTCCTTGCGTGACCTTGGACCAGCCTTTCTCTTTATCTGTGAAGAACCTCAAAGAGTTCTTGGTAGGATAAAATTTGGAGAAGGATTCCCTTGCATGCCAACTTGAGGTTACAGGTGGAAAACTTCTATAGTAATATGACCCATACTTGGTGGCATGGGGATCCCAAGTCACCTTGTCTATCTCCTGAGGAATCTGTATAACGACCAAGTAGCAACAATTAGAACTGACCATGGAGTAACAGACTGGTTCAAGATTGGGAAAGGTGTATGGCAGGGTTGTATACTCTCACCCAACCAGGGGCGGCTCAACCCATTACGCAAAGTAAGAATTTGCAGTATAGTTGATTTTGCTCAGGGGCACTCTTGAGGCGCTCCTGGGGGAAAATAGACCTTGACATATGTGAATTGTAGTTATTGGGATGTATAGTTCACCTACACTCAAAGAGCATTCTGAACTCCACCAATGATGGAATTGAAATATGGCACACAGAACTCCCACGATGAACAGAAAATATATATCAGTGATTGGTCGCCAAAATACTGTTTGCTTACCATTGAAAATAGCTTAGGGCCGCCTCTGCACCCAATCTATTCAGCTTGTATGCAGAACACATCATGCAATGTGCGGGGCTTGACGAATCCAAGGCTAGAGTTAAAATTTCTGGAAGAAACATTAACAGCTTTAGAAATGCAGATGATACCACTTTGATGACTGAAAGCAAGGAGGAGCTCAGGAGCCTTCTAACCAAGGTGAAAGAAGAAAGTGCAAAAGCTGAGTTGCAGTTAAACATAAAAAAAACCAAGATTATGGCAACAAGAATGATTGATAACTGGCAAATAGAGGGAGAAAACGTGAACGCCATGACAGACTTTGTATTTCTAGGTGCAAAGATTACTGCAGACACAGACTGCAGCCAGGAAATCAGAAGACGTTTACTTCTTGGGAGGAGAGCAATGACCAATCTCGATAAAAGTGTATCCTCCAACATTTCGTGTCAGAAGCAACTTGAGAAACTGCAAGTCGCTTCTGGTGTGAGAGAATTGGCCGTCTGCAAGGACATTGCCAGGGAACGCCTAGATGTTTTGATGTTTTACCATCTTTGTGGGAGGCTTCTCTCATGTCCTCGCATGGGGAGCTGGAGCTGACAGAGGGAGCGCATCCACACTCTCCCCAGATTTGAACCAATGGCCTGTTGGTCTTCAGTTCTGCAGGCACAAGGGTTTAACCCACTGTGCCACCAGGGGCTCCATTGAACAAGTGGAAACCAGGACTAAGCAACATCAGGATGTGGTTGTGATGGCAAAAGTTATAAATGGGGAAGATCACAAGAGCTGGGGAAAGCTGCAGCAATTTGCTTTTGACTGAGCTTACTAGGAATTGCACAATAATAATTTATTTATTTATTTATTTACAGTATTTATATTCTGCCGTTCTCACCCTACAGGGGACTCAGGGCGGATTACAATGTACACATATATGGCAAACATTCAATGCCAAGACACACAACATAGACAAGAAAGTCAGAGGCTATTTAACTTTTTCTGGGCACCAGGGGAGCTGTCGCTTTCATCGTCCATCTGCGACACTGATGAAGTACTTCCGCATTCCCTGCATGCTTTTGCTGGAGTGCATTGCTGGAGTCTTTTTATGGCCTCGTAAATTTTGTTAAATTAGCCTCCCCACACATAGGTGGTACCTAAATTTCCTACTTGACAGATGCAACTGTCTTTCGGGTTGCAAAGGTCGACAACAAGCTACACAATTGGTCGGACGCTCACTCCGACCCGGGCTGGCTTCGAACTCATGACCTTTTGGTCAGAAGTGATCTTAATGCAGCTGACACTCAGCCTCTAGTTTAAGTAGACTGAGGATAAAGGAGGAAAGTGAGAAGAAGAGAGAGAAACTGGGACATATTTTTAAAAAGCATCTGAACTATGGGAATGACAGGCAATTAACTGGGACTCTCCCCACCAGACTGGGACAATTGGAGGATTACCAAGTAAAGCAGTTTCTGTGTTGAGGGAAGAAAGAAAAACGCTAGACTAACTGTTGCTATTTATTCAACAAGGCGATCTGATTTAAAGGAGCAATGCAGTTAACTCTGAATGTGTCTCTTTTTATATCAGTGTGACCATTTTAGCACTTTTGTTGATGAACTCACTGGCTACACGACAAGGAATGTCCTTGCCACCCCAATCATGAACGGCAAAGAGGTGGTTGCTGTAATCATGGCAGTGAATAAGACTGGAGCTCAATTTTTCAGCAGCGCAGATGAAAATGTAAGTACAGGTGGGATTGTTGAATGAAGAACTTCAGCCGTGGTGTTGGTGGATTCCAATCAATGGGGAGGTGAATTTAATCTAGCCTTTAAAAAAGCTCTCCAAGGTGCTGAATCCTATTCCTAAATGGAAGTTCCTTGAAGGCTTGGCAAAATCTTTGGATTCACTGTCCTTCTGATATGGGACCAGCAGCTGCCACTGGATCTTAGGCCGTGTCTACACAATCACATAATGTGCATAGGAAATGGATGACACTCTCGGCTGATTCAGTTTAACCTGACTGTCCAGTTTTATTCTAGGTTAAAAAGTACTTGCAAAGGGCTGCATTTTCCTTGCTGAGCTCCATGTTGCTGGGAAATTTATTTATTTATCGTGTCAGGAGCAAACCAAACAGTTGTATTGCATTTTTTAACAAACAAACATACATACATAYATACATACATACATACATACATACATACATACATACAAAACACAAAGTTTGCAAGCTTGGTAGTTGATTAAATGTCCTTTGRCCAGTAGCTGGCCACTTGGAGTGCCTCCAGTGTAAGAAGGTCCTCCATTGTGCAAGTGACAGGGCTCAGGTTGCATTGCAGCAGATTTATTTATTTATTTATTTATTTATTCACGGCATTTATATGCYRCCCTTCTCATCCCGAAGGGGACTCACAGCAGCTTACAAGATATTTTCATACAATATATTATATTATTAGCATAGTACAATATCAGTATTATATATTACTATATTGCACTATACCATTATATTGTAATATTATTAGTAATATTACATGTAATGTAAATATATAATTATATTGTATTATTATTACTAGTATTATATTGTATTACATTATAATATTATAAATATTATATGTATATACAATATACTATATTACATTATTAGTAAAGACAAGATGGAAATGTCTTCTGCTCCCCTCTGTCTTCGCTCTGGCCAGAGTAGCCGTTGGTGCCAGAGGGGGGAGAGGCCTCCCAACTGATGATATAGGCAGAAGACAAGATGGAAATGTCTTCTGCTCCCTTCTGTCTTCGCTCTGGCAGGTGGTCTGTGGTTTGCTCTTCTCCACACTCGCGTGTCGTGGATTCCACTTTGTAGCCCCATTTCTTAAGGTTGGCTCTGCATCTCGTGGTGCCAGAGCGCAGTCTGTTCAGCGCCTTCCAAGTCGCCCAGTTTTCTGTGTGCCCAGGGGGGAGTCTCTCATTTGGTATCAGCCATTGGATTGAGGTTCTGGGTTTGAGCCTGCCACTTTTGGACTCTTGCTTGCTGAGGTGTTCCAGCGAGTATCTCTGTAGATCTTAGAAAATTGTGAAATTATAGAAGCTCCATCACAACATTTCCCAGCAACTAAGAGCTCCGTAAAGCATTAGCATAAGTAAGGAGGATGTTTCTGTTATTTGGGGGCAAAATTGAGAGTATTTTGAATTGGCACAGGTAGGTATCTGGCCACCTTCAGCCATAAAGGCGGGGTCCATGTCTCCCCCCCCCCCCCCCTCGACAGTCTGGCCACAAAATGCAACAGGACTCAGCATTTAAAATGCAGATTCTTTTCACATTTGGGACACTGTAGAAGGGCCCTCAGTTTGTATACTCTTCCTCTTACGTTGTTGAACTGAACAGAGCTTTCTTATGTTCTCAGCTTTTCCTGAAGTATCTTAATTTTGCTGCTTTGAATCTGAAAATATATCATCTGAGCTACCTTCACAATTGTGAAACGCGAAGAGGTCAGGTGAGAAAACTGTTTCTGGAAACTAATTGTTTTCTTTCTCATTTTGTTCTTGTTCAGTGCTAGAATCTAACTAGATATATAGTAGCCTAATTTCATAGTAGCTTTTCAAAATTATAATAAGATGGATGTCACAAGTGTGGATAACCCAAATAGTTTGAAAGCAGCACCCAAACACAAATCAAGGAACATGAAAGGCACTGTAAACTAATTCAACCAGTGAAGTCAGCCATAGAAGAGCACTTGATGAACCAACCTGGACACAGCATATTATTAGAGAACACCGATATGCTGGACCACTCTCACTACTACCATGTCAGGCTACACAGAGAAGCCTTTGAAATCTACAGGTCCGTGGGCAATTTCAACAGGAGGAAGCCATGAAAATGAACTAAATCTGGCTAGGTAAAGGAAAAGGTTTTTCCCTGGCATTATGTCCAGTTCTGTCCAACTTTGGTTGGTAGTGCTCATCTCCATTTCTAAGCCAAAGAGCCAGCATTGTCCATAGACAACTCCAAGGTCATGTGGCCAGCATGACTGCATGGAGTGCCGTTACCTTCCCGCCAAATGGTACCTATTGATCTACTCACATTTGCGTGTTTTTGAACTGCTAGGTTGGCAGAAGCTGGGGCTAACAGCGGGAGCTCATGCCACTCCCCGGATTCGAACCTGCAAACTTTCAGTTAGCAAGTTCAGCAGCTCAGCTCCTTAACTCACTGCACCACTAGGGGCTCCAAATCTGGCTACCAGTTTTTTAAAAACTCTAAAATGAGGACAGTGAACAAAGAGCAACACTCAGAAAACAGGGGAATTCCAGACAGGAAACAATCAGGGCCAGCTAACATGTCCCAACAAAGGATTTCCCCAGGCAGCAACCAGCCAGGCTTTGAAGCTGCATTAATTGGGTTATGTGAGTCTCTGACGCTAGATTGCACAACAGTGTAGATCCACCCTGAATCTGCTAGAGTGCCTGGGCAATTTACATTTCAGTTTTCCATCCTGCAGGTTTTGCTGTGGTCAGCGAATAAAGTCTTTGAGGAATTAACTGACATTGAGAGACAATTCCACAAAGCCTTTTACACCGTCAGAGCATATTTGAACTGTGACAGATATTCTGTAGGCCTTCTGGATATGAGCAAACAAAAGGTGAGTTCCTAATTATATTATGGCTTTCAATGGTTGCAAAGGAAAACCTATGAAAGGAAATGTTTTGCAAGCAAAGAGGTTCAGTCCTCACCATTTCTTTATTTTGGTCTGATATAATAGATGTAGTTTATATCCTATCTTCGTCCCAACTGGAACTTAAGGCTTCTCACTTTGAGCTCACTTCTGAAATAAGCAATCAATCATATATTTTTAAAAATATAAATGCAAGGTTTTCATGAGATATGTTGTCTCCCCAACAAATTTAATTATTACAATGTATGTATGCATCTGTATCTCTTAAAATGGGTTGATTTAAAGCCATGCTAAGAACAATTTGAAAACAATGTGGCACAGGCACCCCATTAAAAGATCTTTCTACAAAACGATCAAATAGTTATTCAAACAAAATAAAAAGACTACTTCTGATACCAATCTAAATCAGAGTCTGAATACAAATTCTGATTGCACAGTTATTAAAAAAACCAAAAATTATTTCATCTTCCTCCAAACTGGTTCCACTTCCCAGAATCACTATGGGCCTGATCACACTGCACAATTACAATGCTATGATTCCACTTTAATTGCCATGACAACATCTTATAGAATCCTGGGGTTTGTAGTTTAAGGAGGTGCCTTTAGGATTCTCACCAACAAAAAATGCAACAAAAAGCCTGCCTTTTCTTTTAGCGAACACCTCTCTAGGTGTCTCCAATGGAGGCCCAAGAGACTCCGAGAGAGAACACATTAAATCTGCAAAAAATCAAATCCACAAAAGTTAAACTTGTCAACGTGGAAGGACGACTGTATTACTTTCTTCTTGTAAAATGTGTTCTCTTCCATTGAGCAATGGCTCCTCACCTGCCACTACAACACATTTGTTGCCAAACGTTACCATTCCATGTCTTTCTTTTATTAAGAAACTTAAAGAGATGTGTGATGAGAGTTACATCACACAAGACTTTCAACTTGCAAAGCTCAATTGGTTCATATTATAATATAGTAAAGGTAAAGTTTCCCCCGACATTAAGTCCAGTCGTGTCCAACTCTGGGAGTTGGTGCTCATCTACATTTCTAAGCCAAAGAGCCAGTATTGTCCATAGACGCGGCCAAGGCTATGTAGCTGGCATGACTGCATGGAGCGCTGTTACCTTCCTGCCAAAGTGGTAAGTATCTACTCACATTTGCATGTTTCCGAACTGCTAGTTTGGCAGAAGCTGGGCCTAACAGCGGAAACTCATGCCGCTCCCCAGATTCGAACCTGCGACCTTTCAGTTAGCAAGTTCAGCAGCTCAGTGTTTTTAGCCACTGCGGCACCGGGGGCTCTGTTATAATAATATAGTCTTATAGTAATATTAATATAATAATAATTATAATAATAATAATATAAACACTTTATTCATATTACGCCCTTCTCCCCAGGGGAACTCAAAGCGGATTACAGCATATAAACAGACACAGGCAAACATTCAATACCTTGTTACAATGAGACACAAATACACAGGCAAAGGCATCTCCTTTCATTTCCAGCTCTGGAGGCGGTGTTGATCTCCGGCTCTGGGAGAGGTGCTTTTTCTCAGTTTTCAAGCTGATGAGCCTGCATTCGTAGACACCTCCTGGCCGTATGGCCAGCATAACTGCTTGGAGCATCTTTTTGCTTTTCCCACTGAAACAGTACCTATTGATCTACTCACATTTGCATGTTTTCAAACAGCTAGATTGGCAGGATCTGGGACTAACAATGGGGGCTCACCCTGTCCCACATATTCAAACTGCTAACCTTCAGGTCAACAGTTCAGCAGCACAAAGGTTTAACGCATTGTGCTACCATAGCCCTTATGTGATATTATGAAATGTCCTTTCTTTCCAGGAGTTTTTTGACTTGTGGCCAGTACTCATGGGTGAAGTTCCACCATATTCCGGTCCTCGAACTCCAGATGGAAGAGTAAGTAATTAGACAGACAAGAAATACACACTTTCTTCAATTATTCGCTTCTCACTAATGCTCTATTTCCGGTCTTTTCATAGGAGATTGCATTTTATAAAGTCATTGATTATATCTTACATGGAAAGGAAGACATTAAAGTTATCCCGTAAGTGGTAATTGCATGACTAAGATTTTTTGTACACAGAAATCAGCTATAGCGGAGTCCTGTCTTCTACCACACAGTACTAAAAATACAGTGTAACATAAGATTTCATCAGACAGTTGAGGAGAAAGAAAAGGGTGGAGGAGGAAAACGTCTTACTTCATTCCCTCCCATCTTTCGACATCTTTTGGGATGGACATCCATTCCATGTCATTTCACCGTCTTCCCCTGTCTTTCCTCTACTTTACCCCATTTTTCTCGCGGGAGTCAATTGACACTTGACTCCTGATCATTGTCTTTAGGCTCCATTTCCATACACTTGGGAAATGGAGCACATGGAGTCTCACCGCCACTGATGAAGGTTTTCACGCCTGGAATCACTGGAGTGTTGTGTGTGATTTCCAGGTTGTATTGCCGTGTTCTAGCAGCATTTTTCCTGATGTTTTCCTGCATCAGATCCTCTGAAGATGCCAGTCACAGATGCAGACAATTAGGGAGTATTGGAGGAATTGAGAGTTATAAAACAATTTTCAAGGGTAGAAAACCCACAAAGGGCAAATGAATTCTTCTAATGACCTTTTAAAAAAAATTAAAGGGTCTTCCTTTGTGCCCTATTAGATTTTTCACTTTATCAAAAGAGGTATGTAAAACGATTATAGAAATGCTGAAAATGCAACCATTGCTGTACTTTCTTAGAAAGTCACCTCTTCCTTTTACTAATTGTTTAGATTAATAGCATTATTTTGTGTGTGTGTGTGTGTGTGTGTGTGTGTATGTGTGTGTGTGTGTATATATATATATAATTCAGCATTTAACTGTTTCATTACTAATTTAAGTACAGCAAGACCATTTAATATAATTTAGTTCATTGGTTGACAAATCTAATCTGGTCATTTTCCTTTCCATTTAGTAATCCTAAACCAGAACACTGGGCCTTGGTTAGTGGACTACCAACCTATGTAGCAGAAACTGGTTTTGTAAGTAGTAGTAGTAGTAGTAATAATAATAATAATAATAATAATAATGCTTTATTTATACCCTACCCTCTCCCCCCGGAGGGGCGAAGAGCTGTTTTCAAAGTATAACAAAAATGGCAAACAATCAATGCCAGGGGCAAATAAACAGTCATAATGAAACATGAAATAAAATTAACTAAGTATAACATATAAACAACAAAACCTAAACCAAGGATAATCTAAATACCAGTTAAAACACAATACATTAATACATTAAAAGCCTAATAAATTATATCACAACAGTGGGTTGAGGTAGGTATCAGGTGTCTAGGCGAGGACGTGTGTATAGAATAATAATCCTCCTCCTCTACATAAACTAGATCATACAGGTAGGTCTTTAAAAGCCTTTGAAAGGAGAGGAGAGAGGAGACCATTTTTCTTTCCAGAGTCAGGGAGCAGGCACAGAGAAGGCTCCCTCTTTCGTTCCCATCAACAGTGCTTGAGATGGGGGTGGGACTGAGAGCAGGGCCTCCTCCGCTGACCGCAGTGCTTGTACTGGTTTGTAAGTGGAGATGCAATTCTTCAAAGAGTCTGGGCCTGAACCATTTAGGGCTTTATAGGTAATAACCAGCACTTTGTATTTAGCTCAGAAGTGGACTGACAGCCAGTGGAGCTGTCATAACATGGGAGTGGATCTCTCCCTGTACAGTACTCCAGTTAGTAACCTGGCTACCGATCTTGGAACTAATTGCAACTTCTGAACTATCTTCAAAGGCAGCCCCACATAGACATTGTTGCAGTAGTCCAGGCAGGAAGTAACCAAGGCGTGGACTACCATGACCAGATCTGGCGTCTCAAGGCACGACACAGCTGGTGCACAAGTTTTAGTTGTGCGAAAGTGCTCCTGGGAGACACTGACACCTGAGTCCAGGATCAGCCTCAGACTGCGGACCTGTAATTCAGGGGGAATGTGACCCCATCCAGCTCAGGCTGCAATCCTACACCCTGATCTGCTTTCCGACTGACCATGAGTATCTCTGTTTTGTCTGGATTTATCTTCAACTTATTAGCAAGCTTATTATGTTTGTATATTTTCATAATAAACCAAGACAACAATAGCCAAAAATTAAAGATTCATATGACATATTCCACATGTGCCTACCTGTTTTTCTCAGGTGGGAATCTCCCCATGAAAATTAGAGACATTTTAAAAGCATATTGTCATATGGTATGGATGCGAATAGTCGGATGTTCAAAGAGGGAGATTTTCAAATGTACACAAAGACAGTTACAATGCTTTAACTATATTGCTAACTGCCAATAACCTGTACATGTAAACAAAACGTCTCTGTAATTTTTTCCAGATTTGCAACATTATGAATGCAGCTTCAGATGAAATGTTTGCATTTCAGGTACTGTAATAGTGTGATCACAACTGTTTATTAGGTTCCCCCATTTGTATGCCCTGGGAAAAGGAAATTAACTCAAATGTGTTTGGAACTGTTCTGCAGACAATATCCTAAGCTATAGTGTAAATATGGTACTGAGCATACAATCTCTTAATTGCAGATTTACAATATGTAAACATATTATAGCTATTTCTATTGAAAGATCATCCATGTTAGCCTATGATGTGTTTCATGCCTCAATCCTGCTTTTTAAAGGATGGTCCTGTTGATGAATCAGGTTGGGTCGTCAAAAACGTCCTCTCCATGCCAATAGTCAACAAAAAAGAAGAAATTGTTGGTGTTGCTACCTTTTACAACAGGAAAGATGGGAAACCCTTTGATGAACAGGATGAAATATTAATGGAGGTAGGCGTCTTCAGTGGAGCAGAGAACACAATACATGTTTTCCAAAAGATAGTTGGTTGCTAAATGCTCACAATATGCAATATGCTTATAGTATTGTAAGTTGATCAGTACTGCAAAGACTAATCCAACCCGTTCAACTCAGGCTGGATCTACACTGGCATATAATGCAATTTCAGAATGCAGATTAACTGCATTGAAGTGGATTATATGGCAATGTAGATTTATATAATCCAGTTTTATGCAGTTAATCTCCATTCTGAAACCACATTACTGTGGCCAGTTCTGGATACTGCAATTTAAGGAAGATGTTGACAAGCTGGAATGTGTCCAGAGGAGGGCAACTGAAATGATCAAGGGTCTGGAGAATAAGCCCTATGAGGAGTGGCTTAAAGAGCTGGGCATGTTTAGCCTGCAGCTCTTTAATCCACTGCATGCCTGCTCTCCCCTCCCCAATTGGAGCCTCAGAAACAGCCATTCCCTTGGCCCAGTAAAGGAGCGCTTTTGGTGGGAGGATTCATCTTTTGTTTCCGAAAAGGAAGAGAAGAACAAGCAGAGAGATCTTCAGCCTTCTCTGCCAAAGGTTTCCTAAGACCATCAGCAATATATGTTTTTGATGGTCTTCGGTGACCCTTCTGAAACCACGTCATGACCCCTCCCCCAGAGGTCCCAACCCCTAGGTTGAGATATGCTGTTCTACTCGCATTGCATGCTTTTGAACTGCTAGGTAGGCAGTAACTAGGGCCGACAGCTGGGAGTTCACCCCAACTCATGGTTTCAAACTGCTAACCCTCGGGTCAGCAGATTTCCTTCAGCTAGCAGTTTAGCCACTGTGCTATCACAGCTCCTTGACACATTGTCATTGTTGATCAAGATTAATAATAATGTTTATCTGTTGTTTAGCTATACCGACAACTTTTCTTTTATTTCCCAAGTCTCTGACGCAGTTTCTTGGGTGGTCTGTGCTCAATACCGATACTTACGATAAGATGAACAAACTGGAATATCGGAAAGACATCGCACAGGATATGGTGCTGTACCATATAAAATGCGACAAGAATGAAATTCAAACAATCCTGGTATGGCATTTAAAGTTTTCCCTCTTGTTCTTTTATTCCTTTTGCTCTTCTTGGTTGATCTCATCTGCAAATAGATTAGAAAGCTTTCAACAATGGTAGAGTTGGCCATTAGATAAGTTAAACATTTTGGAGTTACATTAAAGGAGAAAGATTTGAGATAACTTGTTTATTATAATACTGGCTGGGAGTAGGATGTCGAATTTCTGCATTGTTTCGTCTGAATGCTGTAACTCAGACCATAACTTTTGACTTGCGCTTGTCTCCACAGCCCACAAAAGAAAAGCTTGGAAAAGAAGTGTCTGAATGTGATGAGGAAGAGTTGGGGGCAATTCTGGTGAGTATCCATAAGGCTTAGCGTGGAATAGGGATATAAACAATATTTGTAAATGTCCTCATCTTCTATGACATGGCACAGCTTGACATGTGTAGCCCGAAGAAAATGGTCATAGAATCATACAGCTAGAAGGGATCCCATGGCTCATCTGGTCCAGTATGGAGCCCCTGGTGGTGCAGTGGGTTAAACCCTTGTGCCGGCAGGACTGAAGACCGACAGGTTGCAGGTTCGAATCTGGGGAGAGGCAGATGAGCTCCCTCTATCAGCTCCAGCTCCTCATGCGGGGACATGAGAGAAGCCTCCCACAAGGATGATAAAAACATCAAATCATCCGGGCATCCTCTGGGCAACGTCCTTGCAGATGGCCAATTCTCTCACACCAGAAGTGACTTGCAGTTTCTCAAGTCGCTCCTGACATGACAAAAAAAAATCTAGTCCAGACCTCTGCCATATAGCTAAGGGAGCATCTAGAATGAGTGTAGTTTGACACCAGTTTAACTATCATGGCTCAATTCTATGGAATCAAAGAAACTGTAGCTTTAAAAGGTCTTCAGCCATCTCTGCTAAGGAGTACTGGTGCCTCACTAAACTACAACTCCCTTGATTCCACAATATTGACCCATGGCAATTAAAATGGTGTTAAACAGTGTAGATGCACCCGTAATCATGAGAGATAGCAATCCGATTTCTGTTCCAGGACTTCCAAAGAAGAATTTCCCAACCTTTGGGACAGACTACTCAACCACGCTTTGGTTACATCCCATTTAGATTACTGCAACGCTCTCTACGTGGGGTTGCCTCTGAAGACTGCTGGAAGCTTCAACTACGCGCGGCAGCCAGTTACTAACAGGAGCGGGGTACAGGGAGCATACCACTCCTCTGTTGCGCCAGCTCCACTGGCTGCCAGTCAGCTTCCGAGCACAATTCAAAGTGCTGGTCTTAACCTATAAAGCCCTAAACGACTCTGGCCCAATTTACCTGTCCGAACGTATCCTCCCCTATGAGCCATCAAGATTACTAAGATTGTCTGGAGGGGCCCTGCTCTCGATCCCACCAGCCTCACAGGCACGGCTGGTGGGGACGAGAGACAGGGCCTTCTCGGTGGTGGCCCCTCGACTCTGGAACTCCCTTCCACTGGAGATCAGAACTGCCCCTTCGATCTTAACGTTCAGGAAACAGGTGAAAACCTGGCTTTGGGGATTGGCATTCAACGAATGAGCCATGATCCTGTGATATGGATGGATGACGACGAATAATGACTTTGATGACGACTGACCACTGTAATCATATGATTGTATTTTTGCCATTTTAATTGTTTCAATGTTTTAATGTTTTAGTGTGATTTAGAAATATGATGTTTTAATGACTGTCTGTAATATTGATGTTGGAAACCGGCCCGAGTCCCTCGAATGGAGGTGAGAAGACCGGTATACAAAACTACCAAATAAATAAATAAACTGTCAAATAGGGTAAAACATTTCACCTAATGTCTCCTTGGAATATTTGTTTTGGAATTTGAAGCTCTTGGTCCCGTCTTTGGAGCAGCTGAAAGCAAACTCCATCTTCTACATGCCATCTGTAACAAAGGATAGGCTGCCAGCCCATGCAGATATCCCGCCAATGCTTTGGATATCCCACCGTGGACACCATAAAATGTAAAAGGATGAATCAGTCAGGCTACGGGTTTTAAATATCTTTGCCACCAAAAATATAAAGGATTCAGTCAGGGGATGTTTTATTTTTGCTGCCACCTTTTGTGTTCAGAGGCTGGCTTTATTTATGTTGAGGCTTAGAGATGAGAGTGAGACTTTGCATAGGATGAAACAATAAGTCTCCTTTGGATTACATGAGCATGTTAGTTTCACGAGTATATATACAGTACAGATGCTTGGTGCTTACAATGATTATTCTCTTATGAAGATGTTACTTTAAAAATGGTTTCTGTGTGATTTTCATTTATGTATCTCTTCCACCTTTCCTTCATAAAAGGTTTTTTTTGTGATGGAACACCAGGGTAAAAGGAAAACTGTATGTCTGGCTATTCCTGGTGGCTATCAGTATACAAACTTAAACCATAGTTTAGCACAGGCATGGGCAAATGTTGTTCCTCCAGATGTTTTGGATTTCAACTCCCAGAAATCCCAGCCAGCTATCTGGCTGTTACGAATTGTGGAAGTTGAAGTCCAAAACATCTGGAGGGCTGAAGTTTGCCCATACCTGGTTTAGCATGACACATGAAGAAAATGAATGACCGTATAAACCCATTGAAATAAATAATATTACAGGCACAGGTTACAAGAGCTTGATACATGCTTGTTGATTTGGCAATGAATCATCTACCATATGAACGTGTTGTGTAATTCTTTTCCTGAAGAAGGCACAGCTCCCAGATCCTGAAGAATATGAAATCTATCATTTCCATTTTTCTGACTTGGAATGGACTGAATTTGACCTTGTGAAATGTGGCATCCAAATGTACTATGAACTTGGAGTGGTGAAAAAATTCCAGATTCCACAGGAAGTAAGTGACAATTTTAATCTGGAGGCAAATTCCTACAGTCATATATACTGAGAAGTTAGTTCCTAATGTTCGGATGTCTCCCAAGGTTATTGTAATTTTCAGAACCATTAAGCATTAAACAACTTTGGTAAAGCCTAAAAAGTTTTAAAATCTCATGCTTTCCCTCTCCCGGCGATGCAAGGGAGGGATGAGGTGGGCATGGCTAAGCACAGCCATTGTTATAGTTTGTGAAGGCCAGGCCCCCAATGGTAGAGACTGCAAAAGGCCCTGCTGTTAAACTACATTTCCCACACTGCCCTTCTGCTTATGAGCTAAAATGGCTGAAGGACCCTTATAGCTGTCTGTAGCAGTCCTCGTCTAAATATATATAAAAAATGATTGAATCTACAAAAAGGTCTAAAGAAGGCAGCAAAGCAATAAGCAACTGTTGCAAAGCCAAGAGCACATAAACTGCTTAAAAACCAATCATTTGACCTGACTGCCATGAACAAGGCATTGGGGAAGCCAAAATAAAATGATTGATTGCACCTGCAAATAGGAATAAATGGATGGATGTGTCTTGAGGGTTCCCTCCAACTCAGTAAAGGAAGGAAATGGATGTCAGGAAAGTTTGTATGGTGCCTTTCTGCCCAGAAGTAGGGGGTCAGTCTAGATGTCCCTTGATGGGGTCTTTACTGTGATTTCTGTTCTCTACCAATTTAACACAGTTTGTGCCAGACAAACAAAGTTTCTATAGTAGAACAATTATTTTCAAAGTAAAGACCACTCAATGAAACAGGAAATAACACTTTCAAACCAGGAACAGATTTTCTTTATTATTAAAAAATGTTTTTATAAAAACTTTGAAAATTCGCCAAAAATCCATGGATAAGCCAAAGGTTATGAAATTTGGTCAGCTAACAGTGGTCCGTGTGTTCTACCACTGTAGCAAGTCCCATCAGGATTGGTCTAAAAATGAGGGAGGAAGAATCCCCTGAAGTTTCCCCAGTGCTAGTGGGCTTTTTTCCCTACTGCACATGTGTGTCTGCCATTAATGAAGCAATTCGGAAGTTTTGGAAAGTTTTGAATTTTAAAAAAAATCGGAAGTGACTCTAGAATCGAACCACCAGTGCCCCCTATATCCAAAATGAGTTTTGAACTATTTTTGGATCAACGAAGCCTATTAACTAACCTATCTAAGAGTGACCAAAATAAACAAAAATGCTTTGAACCTCATGTCATCAACATTGTTTTATAAAACAAATGACTAGTGGAGGCTTGAAGAAAATTGCTATTTCCAACAATGCTCACTACCATTCTGTTTTCACAGGTGCTGGTGAGATTCATTTTTTCAGTCAGCAAGGGGTATAGAAAAATCACTTATCACAACTGGCGCCATGGCTTCAATGTTGCACAGACCATGTTCACACTTCTTATGGTATGTCTTTACTAATAAATAAATAAATAAATGTTCCCCAAAAAATGTCCCTGGGGTGAAAGTAAATGTTCCTCGCAATCAATCTGTCTTCCCTCCTCCATTGGCATATAAAATCCAGATTATCTGTTTTAAACTGTATTACATTATATGGCAGTTTGGGCTTCTTTATTTATTTGCAGTATTTATATTCCATCCTTCTCGCACCGCAGGGGACTCAGGGACATATACATGGCAAACATTCAATGCTATTAGACATACAAAATATATAGATAGACACAGAGGCAATTTAACATTCAAGCTTTTCTGGTTTCATGAGATAAGTTCAATTCTGGTCACAGGGGGAGCTGCCGCTTCACCATCCACTTGTTACAGCAAGTCCTTGATGGAGTACTTCCTCATTCTTCTGCACACTGCAGTAACTATATTTCCTACTTGACAGTCTTTCAGGCTGCATTGGCCAACAGCAAGCTAGACTATTAATGGTCGGGAGCTCACTCTGACCCGGGCTGGCTTCAAATTCATGAAGGTCAGTAGTGATTTAATGCAGTTGGCTACTAACTAGCTGCACCACAGCCCAGTCAAAGCATCTGGATTATAGGATTTGATAATCTGGATTGTATGGCAGTGTAGAAGGGACCTCAGAGAATGCAGTCGAGCATGAAAATTAAGTCTGCTTTAATTTCCAACAGCCAATCACAAAACAGGGCATGCTAAATGAAAGGTATGAAAGCAAATCAGGTGCCATGACCAACCACTTTAGCCTCTCCAGGGAACATTTTTACAAGAAGTGCTGAACACACATTTAGAGGAATTGGTGTTTTCTTACTGAGATCTCACTCTTCCATGCATTTAACTATTTTTTTTTAATGCAGAGTACATTCTCTTAAAGAAAGAAATCATTTTATTTTGGTTTACAAAAGGGATCTTTTCTTTTGGTCTACAAGATCTGTTGGAAACTAGGGAAATTGGGCAAAATGTCAGGAGAGAATGCTTCTAGAACATGGCCATACAGCCCGAACATTCCACAAATATATAAACCCCACTTACTTAGTTTCTAACCTCTGAGGATGCTTGCCATAGATGTGGGTGAAACGTCAGGAGAGAATGCTTGTGGAACATGGCCATACAGCCTGGAAAAATCACAGCAAACCAGTGATTCTGGCCATGAAAGCCTTCAACAACATGTCCTAGCATTATCTAGTATTTGTAAAATATTATCTAGTATTTATATTTTAAAAAAATTAGTAAAAATTAGCATAACACTGAGGTTACTACTGGAAACACTACCTGGGTTCAAATTTGATTACTTGGAATTTTATTGCTCTTTGTTTACCATTCTCCATGTGGTCAATTAAACAAATAAAAAAGTTGGAATACATTTATTTTGCCTGCATTGATAATTTCTCCAGACCGCCTTAACTGACAACTAGAGTAATATCTTAAGACAAAATGTGAGCTGTGACTCTAATCGTCACTTCTGTTCTGTTTTTTAGTTGGTCTAATAAAGGCATGGGCTTTTTTGTGAATTTCGGATTTGTGTTCTATTTTGCTGCATGGATAACACCATGCTAGCCCTGAATAAGTTTACTAATTGCGGTGTGTGGTTCTGGCTTTCCTATGTAGACAGGCAATCTGAAGCAATACTACACCGATCTTGAAGCACTGGCTATGGTTACTGCAGCTCTGTGTCATGATATTGATCATCGAGGAACCAACAATCTTTATCAGATGAAGTAAGTACATCTCTATTCATAACCATGAGGTTTTTACGTGATATGGTGAACAGGAGTGTTGTTGTTTTGTTCCATCCAGGTGGCATTTCCTCTCTCCCAACAGCTGGTTTGATGGATACAATTGTTTATAACTTATTCAAACCAGGATTTTTTAAACCTTTTCCACTTGTGACCCCTTTTTGCATGAGAAGTTTTTTTGAGACCCCAGGTAAATAAGCATATGAAATAGGTATAAACGTCAAACATTTACTGATAATAAATCAGCATTTGCAAGGCTTGCTAAACAAGCTGATTTTCCTTTTTTTATGAAGTACAGCTGGAGCATTTTCTGCAGAGTCTGCTGTAAACACTGCACGTTGTTACTAGCAGATGTGTGTAAATGTCTAAAACAGCCAGTAAATAGTGGCATTTAGAAACCATTTTTGTGACCCCAACATTTACCTAGGAGGGATCCCATTTAGGGTCTGGACCCACAGTTTAAGAAGCAGTGCTTTAAACTACATTGTGGAACACAACATGCACACTAACCATGTACGGTAGTTCAACTTTTCAGGAATACTTGTCTTTTTTATTGTCTCTTTCATCTTTTCTTCAACATAGAGGACTACGTGCATCATCCAAACAGAATCTCTTTGGGGTTACTAGATGTTATAATAGTGGTTCCCAACTTTTTTGACCAGGGATTACTCTCCAACATTAGTACCAAAAGGGTTACGAATCAGCTTTTGGTCAGCTTTAGATTTGGTTTGGTTATTTGGGGTGCTAATTCAGAAAATTGCATTGAATAGACCACAGCAGCTCTAGTTTCTGATACAAAACATATGCCATCCAGTAGTTGCCATCTGCTCACCCACAGAAAACCATATTTAATAATCTAGAGCAGATGTGGTCTGTCCAATGCAATTTTCTGAATCACCACCCCAAATAACCCCAGGAACAGGCCTAAAAATGAAGACACCAAGGCACCCTTGCTTCCAGGTGCCACATGGAACGACTCAGGGGGATGGAGGAAGAGGAGAAGCAGCACTCAGGAGGCTTGTTGTCGTGCCTTTCGTTGTCAGTCAGCCTCTCCCCTCTTGACATCCCCGTTGCGTCAGCACTATAAGATGGTTTCACACAACCAGTCACTCTTGTTGCAACGATGTAGTAATGGTGAGGCTGCAGACCATATTTTAGTTCTTGGGGACCACTGGTGGTCCACGGATCACAGCCTGGGAACCACTGTGTTATAAGCTATGCAGAGAAGGGCAAAATAAGGATACTTTAACACCAAATAAGAATCTCCCATTATGAATTTTTCCTTCTTGCAGTACAGAGATTTAAAATGTTAGCTGTGCATTTAGAAATCAAAATACAAGAGACAGACAAAGTTAGCAGGAGAAGATAAATATACCAAATACAGGAGTTCTAGTTTGCAACAGTTTTCAATATCTTGCTCTCTGCAATTCTAAGAATTTAGGGACTGAAAGAAAGATTTCATGGAAGTGGGAATGATTAGAGGGGCAAAGCACCAATTCTGACCACCCTACTAGCTGCAGCTCTGTATATAGTACATCTAATTGCTCAAGGATATAAGCATTTTGCACATTGCTTTATTGAAGAGTTATTTGTAGAAAAGGCTTACATTATGAGGATTTCTATTTTTTTAAGTAAATGTTTGGTTGCTATTTCATTCTTCTAATCCCAACATAATGTTTTACATACATAGTATTTTTCAAAACTTGATCTTCTTCTAACTATTCCTTCTTTCATTCTCCTAAATATTTGCTAATAGATCTCAACATCCCTTAGCAAAACTTCACGGTTCATCAATTTTAGAGAGACATCACTTGGAATTTGGCAAATTTCTGCTTTCAGAAGAGGTTTGTGAGTAGATGTACAGTTTTACAGTCATTTGTTATGTTTATTTTATGCTAATTTTAATTTGCTTAATTTGTAAAATCATAACGTAATTTGACGTTTAATAGGTTTTTCCTTAATTCCTCTTCATTATCCAATGTTTTCACATCCAACGTTCTGCCGGCCCATTTATGACAGATAAATGAGACTCTACTGTATATGAAAATAGATACTTTATGCTGTGTACATATCAAGGAGTTTTAATAGGTTGAATCCCCAAACTGTTCCTTTTTTAATGTAATGCAAAGCATTGAGGGAATAAGGCCGTGATATCCAAGATGATATCAGCTTACACTCTCATATGTTCTTTTGTCTTCTTTTAGTCCTTGAACATTTATCAGAATCTCAACAGGAGGCAGTTTGAGCACGTGAATAACTTGATGGATATTGCCATTATAGCTACAGACTTAGCACTGTACTTCAAGTAAGTGAGAAGTGGATTTGTTCAGTACATTCAGAATGATAATTTCTCTCCTTCAACCATTCTTAGTTGTTCCTGGGCAGAATGAGACAAAACAATCCAAAAGGAGATCGTAGCATCTGTCTCGTCATTTTTTCGCAAGGGAGTTGACTGTGACTTCAGCTCATCTTCATTCCAAGCAGACTTTGGGAAACAGCAGCCAAATACTGTTATTTCAGGGTCAAAATAGGCAAAATAAAAAATCTATAGTGTCTAATTTCCAAAGATTTTTAAAACGTCCCAATTAAGTACCTGATCTCCCAGGCTGGGTAGGGTCCACTCTGCATAAATAAGGAAGTAGAAGTAAGGGTTTCCCCTTGACATTAATTGAGACTGACTCTGGGGGATGGTCCTCATCTCAATTTCTAAGCCAAAGAGCCAGCGTTGTCCATAGACACCTCCTAGGTCATGTGACTGGCATGATTTCATGAAGCGCCGTTACCTTCCCGTCGAAGTGGAACCTATTGATCTACACACATCTGCATGTTTTCGAACTGCTAGGTTGGCAGAAGCTGGGTCTAACAGCGGGAACTCACCCTATCCTGTAGATTTAAACTGTCAACCTTTGGGTCAGCACGTTCTGCAACTAGGGATAACAATGAGAACTCACCCTCGCCCATGGCTTCGAACTGCTAACCTTCCGGTCAGCAAGATTTTCTGCAGCTAGCAGTTTAATCCGCTGTGCTACTGTGGCCCCTAAGTACCCTTTCTAGAAAAGAGGGACATTAAATTATAGTATACCCTGCAATATTTCACAGATTAAAACCCGAATGCATGGCCAAACACCACCAGAGTGGGTCAAAATGGCAGAGGTTATTAATGAGGAAGAACAGCCAAGCGTGGATAATAATAATCATAAATAAAACTTTATTTATATACCGCTCTATCTCCGCGAGGGGGACTCAGGGCGGTTTCCAAGTAACATCACCAAAACATATAGAGTAAACAGTATGACATAAAATTAACAAAACAACATAAGCATAAAATTTTCACAATCACACATATATATTAAAATAATCCTGCCTGTGCTGCATCAGTTTGTTTTTGCCTGAGTGTTCTGGGAAGGACAAGATTTTGCCCCTCTTCTCTTCTCCCCAAGGTAGAGTTAATGGAGTACAAACTACAAGCAGCCCATAAATTACAAACAACCGACTTACAAATGGCTCATAAGAACGGGGGTGAGACAAAAGAAAGCGAGATCAATTTACCTCTAGGAAATTCATTCCTGAAAGGTTATCATGGGGAAAAGGTGTCTCCACTGAAGCTTTAGTACTAATCCTTGCTCCCAAATTTTTCAAAATCCCGGGACAGAAAGTGTGGTGTGGAAAAACTTCATTGCTTTGATAGAGATACACACTATGGGGTTTAAAAACCTCTTTCCGTTCATGTTATTCATATTTTTCCACAGAAAAAGAACCATGTTTCAGAAAATTGTTGATGAATCCAAAACCTACGACAACGAGAAAGAGTGGGTTGAATATTTGTCTCTGGAAGCAACAAAAAAAGAGATTATCATGTAAGTGAAGTTTAATGAACAAATGCATGGTGATGATGGATGAGCCAAAACAGAATTGTACTTGAATACTTCATGCAAATATTTATCTTGAGACAAACTGTTTGGTAATTTTTTATTTGTGTCTTGAAGATTGGAAGTAGCTCTCAATAATAATAATAATAATAATAATAATAATAATAATAATTTATTTATATTCTGCCCTATCTTCCCGAGGGGACTCAGAGAGGATTACAGCATATATACAAACATAAACACAGGCAAACATTGAATGCCTTGATACAATTAACAGCAATTCACAGAGATTCACAGACAAACATAAAGGCAAATGCTTTTCCTTTCGTCTCCGGCTTCTGGAAGCAGTGTTCAACTTCTGGCTCACTTAGCTAGTTTTATATTGCACCCTATGTATTTAAATTTGGGTATGAAAGCTATGCTGCTACTACGTCTTTTCTAAAGAGTATCAATCCAGGATTACAAAGATTTGAGCGCAAGATCAAATGCGGTGGTTATATTACCTGGTTACATTACAGACTGACACATGCCGTTCTAACTAATTAACATTTAATTCAGAGAGAAATATTTGAATGAATGATTCCAAATTCTGACATACAACCTAATGGACTGAGGTCTCCAAACTTCCTATAGACAAGTGACTCACCTTTAACAGCAGCATTACATTGTTTTCCCTCTTCCCTGAAATTTTCAATTTCAACTTACTTTTTCTGATTTCTTTTAATAGGGCAATGATGATGACTGCTTGTGACTTATCAGCTATTGCAAAACCCTGGGAAGTGCAGAGTAAGGTCAGGTGCCAGATATACAGTGTCTATTCTTTAGTAGCAAATTTCACTAACCTACAAATCTGCTATGTTGTGCTTTATATTGGTGTGCAGCCCTCTAGGTGTTGCTGATCTACAACTACCAACATTTCTCAGTCCTCGTTATCTCTGATCTGTTAGGAACAGAGATTATGCCAATGGTTGACCAAAACCTGACCAAAAACTGTGACCAAGTGACCAAAAACTACTCTCCCATAAAATATCTTGTTTCTATATCATGCTCTCAAGAGACAAAAACAAAGTAGACTTTGTTACAAGTAACATATTTGGTTTACTCACAACCTTCATGTTTTCAGTATATAGGAACATAACTTGTCAATCCAGTTACAGATCAGATTTGAAGTAGTTTCTCTGTGCAGATAACACAGGGCATCTCTCTTACAACCAACACCAACATCTTTACATTCTGATAGAGTTTGTCCTCTAAAGTGGAGTCTGAGCTCTGAGCAATCTCAGATCTGATTATATGGTCCTACAATTTATTTACTTACTATATTTCTATACCACCATTCTCAGCCCAGGGGCAACTCATGGTAGTTTTACTCAAGAAAACATAGAGTAAAAGGAAAACTGCATACCAAAACATACATATATGATACAGTAAGCAAAACAGAATCATATGCAAACAAATTACTAGTGGAGGCTTGAAGAAGGTTGCTATTTCCAACAGGAGATGGGATTACAGTAAATATCTTCTAGAGGACCATGCAAAGATGGGTGGGGTGGGGAGACATGTTGGGTGCCATAGCCTGGTAGTGTTGTGATGCAGTAGTAGAGGAGCTGGAATGGACAAGTCTATGCTTCAGTCCAGAGCTATCCAAGGTTGACATTGCATGCCTGATCAAATCTGACAGCCTTGTACATGAAACCTCAGGACAAGGACAACTTGACCACTTCTAGAGTCCAGCTGTAGCCCTGAGATAGGCTGGTCTCCTCTAAGAGGTCCACAGTCCTCAGAGATAGTATTGTAACATAGTGGTGCTATTCAAAGTAACTTAAAACTGGTTCAATCTATTGTTTGCTCAAATGTGTACATGGTAACCAATTGTTCTATAATTTACCATTGGAGGCATGGCTATGGATGCCTGCTTGCCTTTAGCATAGGGAATGAATGGGAGCAGGGTCAGGGACTCCGTGGATCACCCACCCTCCCTTCCTTCCTTCCTTCCTTCCTTCCTTCCTTCCTTCCTTCCTTCCTTCCTTCCTTCCTTCCTTCCTTCCTTCCTTCCTTCCTGGCAGTGATCAACTCCATTTTTATTTCTTCCGTAGTCTTCCTTGGCCACTGTAGCAGAGTCAGGAGAGCTTTGGGCTTGCTACTGCTCCTGTTTCTGGTGGGGGTGACTAGGAATAAATCATGCATGCACCAGTTGAAGGGGAGGGACCAGTGGGAGATTTTGTCTTCTGTCCCTACCACAAACAGTTCAATCAACCTAGCAAATTGTAAGAATGACTTCAGTCAAATTGTAACAACTACTTGGTGCAAAATGGCTGAATGGCACCATTGCTCCAAACCTGGTAGTCTCACCAGCACCTTCTGGAGAGATGAAGGAAGTGTTAGGCTTCAAACCAAGTATTTGTCCCTTGTGGTTTTAAAGATGTCATGCATGGAGCCTGAAGCAAGTTAGCCTTGGACCAACAGTATAAGCCCCTTTCCACGCTGCCCCTATATCCCAGGATCTGATCCTAGGTTATCTGTTTATCCCAGGTTATTTGGCAGTGAAGGATCATATAATCCAGTTTATAGCATATCATCTGGGATCAAATCCTGGTATATAGGGGCAGTCTAGAAGGGGCTACGAAGCCTCCTTGGTTTTTCTTTCACTGTTGTCTACTGGGACCTGTCTTTGGTGCTGCCTAATGGATGTGCCTGGCCAGCTTGAAACTTGACATCAGTGAAGAAATAACTTCCACTGACATGTGGTTTTGCACAGTGCTTTTAAAAGGGACTGTTGACATTGATAAGGCAATTTCTGATCTATCATGCAAGCTAATAAAATCAGGAAAAAAACTTCAGTGTTATTATTTTTTTCTCCCTTGGACACAGGTGGCATTGCTTGTAGCAGCTGAGTTCTGGGAACAAGGAGACTTGGAGATATCTGTACTTCAGCAACAGCCTATTGTAAGAGGAATATTTTCATTTACTTGTTTTATACTTCCTGATTCCACACCTAAACTGCTGAGCTGCAGAAGCTCCCTTCATTAACCCCAGCTTTTGTCAACCTAACAGTTCAAAGCCATGCAAATGTGAGTAGATCAATAGGTACCACTCTGACGGGAAGATGGCGTTGCTCCATGCAGTCTTGCCATCCACATGACCTAGAAGGTGTCTACAGACAATGTCAGCTCTTTAGCTTAGAAATAGAAATGAGCACCACCTCCCAGAGTCAGACTTGACTAGATTTAATGTCAAGGGGAAAGCTTTACCCTTACCTTATATTGAGAGTAAGCAGCTTATCACATGAGGAAGAAAAAATGCAAATACGACCGGACAACAGTGTCTCTGACTGCTACTTATTATAAAACATTGTTTCTTTCAGTTCTTGTGGGTTTTTTCGGGCTATATGGCCATGTTCTAGAGGCATTTCTCCTGACGTTTCGCCTGCATCTATGGCAAGCTTCCTCAGAGACCTCTGAGGAAGCTTGCCATAGATGCAGGCGAAACGTCAGGAGAAATGCCTCTAGAACATGGCCATATAGCCCGAAAAAACCCACAAGAACTGAGTGATTCCGGCCATGAAAGCCTTCGACAATACATTGTTTCTTTCCCTTCTGGAATTTTGAGTTTGTATTTATTTTACAAACACAAATAGCAAAACAAATTTTAAAAAATTCGTGCTTTGAAAGTCTTTTTCCCGTTTAATTGTGTGGTGCTTACTTTGAAAGTAGTTGTTATACTCCAGAAACTTCATTTTTGTGACTGCCACAAACTATGTTGAATTGGTTGAGACTCTATATACATTGAAAAACTATAGCAAAATATGCTGGACAGAAACAAATTTTTGCCAGTTTAATAAATGTTTCCCATGTTTTTATGATAGAACCAATTAGGAAATGACATTTATAACCCAGGAACAAAAAATGTGTTACATAGTGTAACCCATTAATGACCCTTTTCACCTTCTCCCATGCTTTCTGGAGGACAACAGAAGATAATTGACTCCACATGATGAGTCCTGCTGTTATCCTGCTATAATTGTGATGCACCCGCTTTGTGTGATAAGGCCTGAAATGTGTTCTTGTAGCAAAAAGACAGAACTTGAGAAATAGATTACTTCAAAATTGTTCTGTTGTTTTCTTCTAGCCAATGATGGACAGAAGGAAAGCTGCCGAACTTCCAAAACTTCAAGTTGGGTTCATTGACTTTGTGTGCACATTTGTATACAAGGTAAGCATTTAACCTTTAAAATGTGTCAGGTCCATAAACCGTACCTAATACTTTAAAAAGTTTTGGCAAAGAATTTTTAATCCAAGCTAGCATTTTCTACCTCTACGATTTCTATGTATTTAGAGCAGTGTTTCTCAAACTATGTGTTCCCAGATGTTTTGGCCTTCAACTCCCAGAAATCCTAACAGCTGGTAAACTGGCTGGGATTTCTGGGAGTTGTAGGCCAAAACACCTGGGGACCCAAAGGTTGAGAACCACTGGTTTAGAGGATATTATTAGGCAGAATTTTAATATTATGACATAATTTAGAACATAGCGATTCTTCTATGTAGCCATATCTTCAGCAGTTTCCACCTGTTGCTTACTCCTCTTTTTTGGATAATCTAACCAATGTTAATCAATTCAAGGGTTTTCTTATTCTGAATATTTTTAGGATTGATATGTGGCTACTTTTCATTTATCGTATCTACCTATCTATCTCCCATCTATTATCCAGTTGCAGAAGTGCAGACCGCCAAAGTGTTACTGAGAGTTCTAGATTTCTAGGAGTTTGGTAATTAAATTGCAGTTTCTGCTCATTACTAGCTAAACACAGCTATGCCCCAGATCAGGAAAAAATGGGGCATGTTCAAATGTATTTTTAAATTTAGTCAATGATGAATTGACCCATGTGCCTAACAAATATTTTCATCCCCACCATACAAACTAGGTGAGATCTTGTAAATTGGATCCCAGTGATGCCATACAAACATGTTAATAGCTGCGTTTCCTACTTGTTCTTCTTTAAAATCTTAGACTGGATTTCTTTTGTACGATTGGTGGAGTAGAAAGCCCCACTGGTGTGGTAGCAATGCAGAACTGGCATGCCCCCCCCCCCCCCGCCAATACAATGATTTCCATTCGGATGAACTCTCCTCCCCTTTTGCTACCAGCACCTGGATAATGGGTTGCACAAGTGTGGAAAATGTCAGATTGCTAAGGGAAAGGTTTATAGGGGAAATTATTGAACAATTTAGTATGTAGATGTCAACCTCCAGTATTATTTATTTATTGTGTCAGAAGGTAATTGAAGGTACAGTTTTAACGTATTTAAAAACACAAAGTTAAAAAGTTGGCATTATGCTAAATGTCTTTTGACCTGAAATTGGCCACTTGGAGTGCCTCTGGCATCACTATGAAATGGTCCTCCATTGTACATGTGGCAGTGCTCAGGTCTCAATGTAGTAGGTCATCTGTGGTTTGGTCTTCTCCACACTTGCATGTTGTGGACTCCACTTTGTACCCCCATTTCTGGCTCTGCATCTCGTGGTGCGGGAGTGCAGCCTGTTCAGTGCCTTCCAGGTCGCCCAATCTTCTTGGTACCCATGAGGGAGTTTCTCATCTGGTATCAGCCACTGATTGAGTTTCTGGGTTATTGCCTGCCACTTTTGGACTCTCACTTGCTGAGGTGTTCCTACGAGCATCTTTGTAGACCTTACTTGATTTAAGGCATTGGCTTGCTGGCTGATATCCCAATAGAGGATGGAGATTCAATGCCTTGGTTCATTCATTACAGGCTGCTACTTCCCAATGTAATCCCCAGTACTATATATGTGTGTGTGTGTGTGTGTGTGTAGATAAATATAGATATTTGAAAAATCTAGATTTCCCCTAATATTTTTGATGAAATTTAGTGATTAGAAACAAAAATTACTGCTAATCAGCTTAAATAAGACACACACCAGACTAGAAAAAAAATCTTAATGATTTCAGTAAACTTTCATTCGTTTTCTCAATGTGGACAGGACAGCATTATAGCCATTGCATTCCTATTACTTTCCTTCAGATGTACGTATATTCTATTTATGGGACTGTAGTTGTAAACGCCCATAATTTGATTCCCATTATGATGGAATAAGAATTGATTTTATCAACAGCTGGACTTTAAACATAAAACTGAAAACCGCAATGTTGACAAGATTGAGACAATGTACAAGCCCATATCCCTGGCTGACTGGTGGGTCAGTAAACTAGGTTGATGCAGAATCCTAGCAATTACACTGAAAAAAGGCAAAGGAAACAATAATTTGTTTTAATTAATACATTTATTTTTAATTGACTTGAAAGTGCCACCGGATGTGGCCAGTGACTCCTGCTCAATGCCCAGGAGAAGGCGAAAAACCTCCAGGGTCTCAGGCCAATCTGCCCTGGAGGAAAATTCCTTCCCGACCCCAAAAGTGGCAGTCAGCACTACTAGCCCTGGGCACCCCATGAGCAAGAGCCATGCGCAAGCGCCCCCTCCCCACAAAGCTAAAAACCACATCACCTCCTCTATTCCTCCTTCTTTCAGATAGGGAATGAACTAATTTCCTGAACAAGGATTAGCACTCGTGCCTGAAGGTCCAGATAATTTCTTCATTATTTACCCCTTCATAAAACTCACCCACTTTTCTATATACCTTACCTGACTTATGCCTTCTTTCCTACCAGACTATTAATGTAATTATCTTTGCCACCTATCATCATATAATGGATCATCAAGAGATCTTTTTGCATTGAACAATTCCTTCCAAAATCTGCAAAGAAGTAAGTAAATCATCAAATAACTGTCAAACCATCACAGGGACAATTTTCAAAATTCCCTTCCAACCTGCTAAAAGGAAAAGAAAAAAAAACAGTATCTAAAAACCTACATCACATTATTCATTTGAAAAGACTTGGGGGGGGGGGGGCAGAAAAATACAAACTTGCAATGTTTTATACTTAGTTCTCTTTGAAGAAGCACCAGTACGAGAAGTCTTGTTTCTTACCTCACTAGACGTTTTGTTGTGCTTTGATTCTTGATCTTGCCAAGCTATTAATATAATTATCCATATCATCAGATCATTGGTTATCAGCAGATCTTTTGTGTACTGGACAATCACTTCCAAAGAAGTCACTAAAACCATCCAATACCCATTGAACCATCACCGTGACATCTTCAGTGAGTCAGCAAGGGAAAATGAAGCACCTCTCTCTTCTTTAGCAATTAAAACTACTGAAAACACATAGAGTTTAAAATCTTGTTAAAAGACACAGATGTCTTCATGACTTTCAGCTCACTCAATCTTCAAAGCTTTTGACTTGTAGATCTCTTAAGAATCTGGAAAGAAGGCCATAAATGATCAAACAAATGTTAAACATCTGAGTTGCATCCGGAGCTTTTTTGAAGAGGGCAGCGAGCAGGAATGGAATAATGACCTTTGTCTATTTTTCTAATAAATGATCTATTGCATAAATGATAAAATTTCAATTACAATCTAACCTTTAATTCTTTTAGCCAATGCTTGACATCAACTTCAACATATTGCTTCTATTTGTATCTAATGGAAACAAGTGTGTTTCCATTAAAGTTGTGCATTTGGGGTAAACCTTGCTGACATTTTGTGTCCCGGCTTTCAGTGGAGGCCCCAATCCGTTTTTAGGGAGCCTCCTGAAATTGGGAGGGTAGATATATGTTTCGCTGTCTGGTGCTGAAATATCCATTTTCTATTGGCCCATTATTGGGAGGGGGGACTTTCAACCCAGGCATGCACTTTAAGGAAGTTTAAAGATGGCAGCGAGCATCTTTAAACCTCCTTAAAGTGCATGCCTGAGTCGAAAGTTTTAAAGGAGGTTTAAAGATGGCAGCGAGCATCTAAAATCTAAAATCCCTCACAATCCTAACCATCTATGATTGGATGCCTCTTATCTGGGGAGTGGAAGGGCTCCCTGGCTGGGGCTGAAGACACCCTGAGATAGGGATACAGGGGAGAACAGGGATTGCACTCGGGATGAAAACTAGCCAGCTCCGCCACCATTTCCCACTGCCGTTTCCCCCTTCAGTCAGGAAACCTACCTTGTGCCACTCCTGAGGTCTTCGTCGTTGGCTGGCCTGTTCCATCTGACCTCCTTGAACTGGAAACTAGGGGCAGACCCACGATGGGATCCTTGGCATGGGGCTGGGATACGCCGTGTTCACTGGCGGCTTGCTGGGACTTGCCCTCCATTGCATTTGCTGGTGGTCTTCCTGGGGCTCCGTGCTCCCTTGCTTGCTGGGGCTGTTGTTACCTCCAGGTGCTGCTGGACTCCATCTCAACCAGCTTCCATCCCTGTGGTGCTGCTCCATCAAGCTGCACCGCCGGGATGGAAGCCAGTCGAGAAGGAGTCCAGAAGCACCAGGTGGCAACAACAGCCCCAGCAAGCAAGGAAGCATGGAGCCCCAGAAAGGCTGCTGGCAAACGCGACGGGGGCAAACCCCGGCAAGCCACCAGTGAACGCAGCACATCCCAGTCCTGCGCCAAAGAACCCACCGTGGGTCTGCCCTTAGCTCCTAGCTCGAGGAGACTAGGTGCAACGGGCCAGCTGATGATGAAGACCTCAGCAGTGGCACAAGGTAGATTTCCCGATTGAAGGGGGAAATGGCAGTGAGAAATGGTGGCGGAGCCAGCTACTTTTCACCCTGAGAGCAATCCCTGTTCTCCCCTCTGTCTCTGTCTTGGGGTGTCTTCAGCCCTGGCCAGGGAGCCCTTTGATACCCCAGATGAAGGTGAGGCAAACCCCAATAAAATGAGGAGGCATCCAGTCTTTGATGGTAAGGATTGTTTGCTGGGAGATTAATAAAAGATTAAACTGTGATGCCGAAAAGCAGGCTTGGGGCCAGTACCTGCTCCTGCTTGCTTTCGTGTTGAGTTTATTTTCGTACCAGGAGGGGCCTTCCTGTTCTGTGCCCCCGAAGGTACGAAAGAAGGGAATAAAATGGGAGAAATGAATTCTGCACACAACTCTAGTTTCCATTCTGATGGGGAGAAATAATACTTAGCTACAGCAATCAGTCCTGACAAAATCTTGTAGAGAGAGCCAGACAAAAAATAAATAAAGTGCCAGTCTTTATTTAGGTATTAGAAAGAATAAAAAACTTACCTCAACTCCTTGATTTCTTTCTTACTGTCTTCTACACACTGTGCAACTGATATAGTTAGAAAGCAAGGCCAAATAATATACAGACTTTGGTCACTGTGAAAAATGATTAAAATATTTCAGCTGCTGTATTTTTTTCCCAACCACTTTTAGAGTACACTTGATTACAAAACGCGTTGATTTGCAGTTATTTAAAAATATGAAAATTCTTTTTTAATTCTAATAAGACGTTATGTACAAGTACAAGGTGAAAAAAGAAAGACTTTAACAATCCCAACTATTTTCCAGGCTGGGAATTCTTCCAGTTAAGCAACTTACTTCATATACTTACCAACAGGTTTGTTAAATTCACTGGATTAACCTTTTACTTTCCTGACACTCGCCTTGTTCTTTGCATTATATCAGT